ACTGAGACAATATTATTATCAGACAACCATTTCTGGGTACATGAAATCTACTTTTTCTGTAAGACTGATGGACTGATCACTACACTCTTTGTCTACATGTATAATTTAAGAACAATAGACACCACACCGTAAATTAAGAGTGTTATTTATGTAAATTTACTGAGGTCCATGTGGGTGTTTTCTTCTGCAGTATTTAGATAAGAAAGCATTACAAGTGAAGGCTTACACCTGCCCATCACAGTATTCAGAGTTGACTACACTTATCTTCAGAGGAAGAGGCATCTCTGACAACAGGAATAGAAAAATTAAAAAATTTCCAAACAAAATAGATTAGCCTGTGTCTGACTGGAGCAGTTTCAAGACCCATGCTGAGGATCCTCTGACAGATGAACTGTTAACAACCACCTAAGTGATAAAAACCCAGCAGCATCTTCACTTCAGTCAGCACGTTGTCCTTGACCTCTGGCCCTAGATGGGCCAGCTTTGTGTGTTGCTTCAATAGCAGCACTGCACTGCTAGTTCATTCAGGCAACAGGGAATTCTCTCTGCCAAGGATAACCCAAAGGCTAAAGGCATTTCATTTCTGTAACTGTGCTATTAGGGCTGTTACACTCTCTTTTCTGTTCACAGCTCTGGAGCAAAAGCCAGAGGGGGAAAAAACAGAATAGCAAAACCCTTCTTCTATAAATCTACTTGTATCTCTTGAAATGGTGTCTTAGGTCACTGGCAGATCAGTATAGCTCTGGGCAGCCCTTCTGCTTCTCCAGCTTGTACATGTGAAACGTAGGCGATTTATCAAACGGCTCAGATCCACCCCTGCCCTGCCTTTGGCTGCACAACCTGCAAATAAAAAGTGATCTGCAGCAATATGTAAGTGCTTAAAAAAAAATAATTAAGAGCTCTGGTTTAAAAAAAGAATAAAATGGGGGTGTATTTTTAAGAATGGATTCATTTCAGCAGGGCTTTCAAGTTTTTGGATTTTGAGTGCAAATTGCATGCCTAATTAAGAATGCAAATTTGTAACATCCACTGTTATTCAAGCGTTCTTTTACCTGCTTTGTTTGTTCCAGGAAAGATCAAGCACAGCATCAGTATGTCCTTCCACGGTCCCCTCCGAAGATAAACTCTGTGTATACACATACAACATAAACTTGAAAATTACAGCTTCAATGCAAACCCAGTATCGCTCCACATTAGCATGAATTCCTTAATGTCTTCACAAGCAATTTCATAATAAATTCCTCTCACTTGCTGCAACACAGCTTTGGAGAGAACTGTCTCTACACTGCCTGCACCTTGCCTCCTACCCCAGATCTCAGATTGCTCCATTCACAGCTGGTGGGGCTCACAGAACTGGTTACTCCCTTCGGGCTTGTAAAAGAAATATCATTGTTTCCAGCTAACATGCAACTTCTTCAGCTTGTTTCTAAACACTCCTGGCAGCTCCCTCTCTCACCTCCCAATTAACTGAGTTTTAGGTCCTTGTAACTGCCAGCTCCTAGAAATTCTAATTTCAAATGGTTAAGATTCAAAGCTTACTGGGACAGCAACTGGAAATCAACCATAAGCCACCTCACTCCTGTTCTGCTCTTAATTCCAGGCTTTAATTACTCAAAGAACAATTAGCATTTCAAATATTGTAGAAAAAACCCCCCACATTCTCTCTGCCCTAAGTTTCCTCCATCCAAGCAGACAAATAATTTTACAATACTTACTTTCTTTCCTTTTTTTTTCTTCTTTTTCTCTTTCTTGCCTCCAAGAGAAAACACTGGTTCTAGGGACTCTACTACATCAAGGTCCCAAATGTCAATAACTGGGGTCATGTTACCCACTGCAACGTAATTTCCTACAAGCAGAAACCCAAATGCAACCACATTTATTTAGAGTTACGAAACATCATATTTGGCAATCCAGCTGTTGCTTATTTCTTTGATTAAATAAAACTTATGTGCCACAATCTTCTATTTGAACATATTTGATCTTTATAACTGACGAGGAGCAATTTAAAAATATCAGTTGCCAGAAAAAAAATTGACTTGGTTTTCTTCCCTTTCAGTACAAGTAACTGATCAAAGAAGTTGAATAAAGTTCCATGTTTTGTTTGTTTTTAAAGGAAAAAACAAACCAAAACAAAACCACATCCCCTGTACTATGGGAAAAGAAAGTATCTGTAAAACACAGGAAAAATATTACTAAATACATAAATATATATACATTTTTCTGTAGTTTACAGTTAATCATCGCATTGGACATAATGAATTTAAACAAAAGCAACCTTTCATTTGCAAATGGAATATAAAGCAGATTATAGAAGAGCTTGCTCTGGTCTGCTAACTGACAATAACTTAAATATTAGTAATAAACCCAGTACTTTTGTCAAATCACGTGTTACAGGAACATCACCAAAATAACTGTATCACCAAAATAACTGTATCACCAAACCAAAACACCTGATACTCAGTCTATCCTTCCTCACAGCTTGGTTTTATTTCTGTTTATACCTCTGGAAGAAATCATTTAGTGACAACATTACATTTATATACTTTACAAGTACAAATTACTTAACTGGACGTTTATAGTATTCTCTGTAATTTACCTGTTGATTCATCTGGATTAGGATCAAAATTCAACCACTCCAGACTTAGAGGGTAAGCGGGCAAGATAATATCATGATGTACATAAAATGAGTCCTCCTCATGATTATAAACTGCAAAATAATTAAAGTTATACAAGACATCAGTGCAGAGGAAAAGCAAACAACTACAAACATTTCACTTCTGCAAAAGGCAGACATGGCAAAGACTAAATGTAAAGGAGATCTAGAACATAAATTTGCAGTGTGTTCAGAGTTTTAGTGTAGAGGCCAGACCCTCTAAGTACGAACGTTATACTTAACAAAATTACACAAAATGAACATTCTCCCGTGCACTTTAGATAAAGAAGTGACAAGTTCAGCAAAGGTGCAATACTTTATTCCTAGCACACCACACTACTTTATTTGTAAGGTCACTTCAAAAGAGATGCTCCATATCCAGCACTTTCTACATCAGAACACATTAATGGAGATTCAGACATTCACTTTACAGAATTAGCAATTTAAAAAAAATAAAGTAACTCCAGGTGAAATTTAAGTGGAAATGAAAGTAAAAGACAAACAATGTTCAAAGAAGAGGAGGCTGAAGAAGTCAGAAGCTGCCTTTAGCAGGCAATATAGTATCCTATAGAGATATAGGAAGAGTTTTGATAAAGCAACCATATACTGAACACAGCATTCCCTGTAGCCAGCTGTTTTTCTCATAATAAAATAACTTACTAAGTGGATAGCAAAGAAAAAACATTAATTACTTTAATAATATGCTACCATCACAGACACACAATTACTGTGCCATTTTTAAGCGCATGTGACAGATGTTCAGATAACTAACTAAAGTTTTCAGTTAACCAAGTTGTCTTAGTCATTAACTAAGACAGGGTTACCCAACGTTAGAAACTTCAGAAGCCTTTGCTATTGTTTCGTAAGTTTACACTGGGGAAAATGACACAGTTAATAAAGATGTTGGTATCTGAAGAGATGCTGTCCAACATTTTGGTCATGTTTCTTGCTTAAAACGAAATACTTCCCTTGCAGAAACACGGACCATCGCACAGGTAGGCAGAACCACTCCCACAGAGAACCGTGGTAAGAAAAGATGATTAATTTCAGCACGCTCCAGTACTCCTTGCTGCAACAGGAAAATCTCTTACACAGTAAAATTAATCCTATTGCTAGGAAAAGCAGTTGTTAGGCCATATTAAGGACCATCTCTTCTAAAAACTATGATGATAAAGGTGCTGATTCTTCTGCTCCTAGCAGTGGAAAGCCCATTTAAAGAACAAGGAGAAAGATGAAGGAAAAAACTCAACCAAATAACAAACCACTAGGGGATGCTTGCAGGATATCGAAAGTAAGACTGGAAGAAAGACTGTATGTTCAGAGAATAAAAATGCCATCGTATTTTCTAAGCGTCATAAGAAACTAAATAAGGAAAAGAAATGCTATACAGCCTGAAAGAGGCAAGTTATCCTCTAAATAACAATAACTCCACATGAAATATTTTAGTCCTGGAAAGTGGCTAAAGGAAAAAACACAGAGCAGAAGGGGAGAGAAAAAAACTACAAAAACCAACCCACTCCCTCTTCAACACAACCGTATGGCACAGGCTAGGCAAGATATATTCACTACATTCACTGTAAAGAACAAATTCTATTTCACTTACCATGGACCTCCAAACTACAGCAGTCTTTATCAACTCTGCCACAAAGGACGAGATTGTCAGTGGGCTTAATCAAAAAGTCCTCCTGTTCATATTGCTCCTGAACAGCAAAAAGGAGAGGACAAGGGATGCTGAGAAAGGCATGTAAATGCACAAAACTACATATGCTCAAAAGGTTGAATCAATTAGTCATTTTTAACCGTAACAGAAAACAGTCAAAATCCAACACCCCGATGCCCACCCACCTAAAACCATCCTATGGTGATAACCAGAGAAAGGCAGGAACCAGACCCAATTCTAGGGAGATTGAAGAGAGTCATTAAATAAATTGAAGGAATTTGTATGTGGACATACCTGGATTTGTAAACATGTTTAATTACCAAACATGAAACCATATTTCAAGGCTATCACGATGCAGCCCACTGCTGAAAAGCACAGCCAGGACATACAAAGTAAGCTTATTTCCCTCTTGCTCCTGCTCCTTGACCATTTATGTAGAATAACAGCATTTTACCCAATAAAGATACTGCAATTGCTCCTCACATCCAGGAAGTAATTCCAAGAGCATCAAAGCACTGTCTACTTCCTGGAAAATATTTCCCAAAAAGTACTGCCCACAGCTCTACTGGACATTTAACTATACCAGAACAGATGTGACCTCTCATCTGACATTCAGTGTTATTGAGGAATGAAAGGCATTTGGGAATTTTTTGTTTGTGAAAAACAAAGAACTGTACCTAAGTCAATAGTCTCACAAGAGTACCATCCTTCAAACGTACACCAGAAGCAAGACTTTTTGGACTTCTCGTTGCAAGTTTTTAATTTCTTTTTTATTGACTTCAAGCACATTTCAATATTTGAATTCTATCAAGTCCTACAATTCTTTGAATTAATTAACTTAATGTTGCATAATACTTAGTCTTCAACAGAACCACTAAAGGACAACACAAAATGCATACTGAAGAACTTGCAGAACTTGAGGAAAGAACTTCAGCATAGGAAGAAAGGCCTGAGAAAAAGGTGTTCACTTACTGTATATCTAGAAAAAATTAGCTATTCTGACACAAAATAAATGCAGATCATACTCTCTCTGAATCCCTCTTTGATTATAAAAATCACTTTAAAAGCATTTCTCTCCTCCACTGGTACACAGGAGCAAGAAAAACCATCAATGGAACACAGAGAAAACAAACAATGTCCCAAAGTGCACATGGCAAGTGAATTCCTTTTGAAGATAAGGTGTGCACCTTCCTCCTTGAGCTTTGTTACAGTATGTGAAGTCACCAAAACAACTCCCTGTCATGTCTGACACAGTTCCCTGACACAAAAACTAGACACTGTGGTAGAAGACTACAGCTAATATTTTCTTTCAATCTGACTAGCTTTGCAAAGAATCCAAAATAATGTAGCAAGGACAGCACCCAGAAAAAATCTCAGAATCTTTACACTTAGAAGATGTGCCAAAAATTCACCTACTATCACCCTGCCCAGAGGATCAGTTTCTCCTGATTGCTCTCTGCATTGTCTCTTCCCTTACAATCTCACCTTCGTTCACTCTGATTTCTGTAACCTTTCCATGTAAATTAAGTCAATCATGAACTGCAATCTAGCCTTCTGAACTGAACTGGAGGATACTCTCTGGAATCTCTCCACATCCCAATATTTTAGCCAAGGCAATACTAATGTTATGTAAATTAGAAGGATTACCTTGTGTCTTGCTTGCATCTCGTGCTGTATCCCTGCCCACCAGATAAAGGCAAACAGCCACATAACAGGACAGCACTCTTGACACAACTTGTTTTAGGCTGCAGCCAGAGACTTCTTCACCCAGAGCAGAGCTCCTACAAACCCAACTCCTGCTAAGATGTTCCCCATCTGACAGGCAGAAACTAACACAGTCTGAAGCAGTCAACACCACAGCACACTGTGCTTCTCTGTTTAACAGGGATGTATTTCCTCTTGCCATATTCCTAATTTGACACATAGCCTGAGTCCATCTCAGCCCAGTTTCTTACACAACCTGGAAGGTGCAAGAGTCTTGCAGTCTGGGAAATTTTCTAATTTGGGTCATTAGTGGCCTGAGATTTGTTATTTCATCAAACATTTTCTGTGTCCTACTAGACAGGTGAAAAACCACTCTACATGGTTTAAATAACGAGCCAGTTCACTTAACCTCCGACTTAAATGCAAAAGGCACACGAAGAAGGGAGTGCACAAAGCAACCTTGAAAGAAAAAAGTTCAGTCTGATCAAAAATCTGGCACACCTGTGAAAAAGGACTGCAAGCACTTACAGACCCTAAGGCAGCATGGAAAATTCAACTGATTTTTAAGTTTATGCTGTTTAAGATATCGGACATTTTTTAAGTACTTACAGTGGTTTTGAGAGTGATGTAAGGATCATTATCATTACTCCCATATACTGCCAGAGTAGCCAAAGAGTCTCCAAGTTGTAAATCACCTAGATGGGAATTTCAGAACACTTTTCAGACATGTCAGTGACAGGTGAAGTTAGAAACTCCTGTATCCTACTTGTATTACCTATATTGCAAAATATCAGGAGTGGGCTAAATGAATTTCCAAGTTTCAAACCCAAGTACCTTGGTAAGCTAAATTGCTTAGAGCTTTCAGGGACTTCTGCTCTGCTCCAGCACTACAGCAGAGGGAGTGACAATCTTTCCAACAAGCTCTCAGTTTTACTGTCAGGGAGAGGGACAGTGATTCACTTCCCTCTCTAAATGACTCCTGAAGCTGGGACGAGCAAATTATTAAAAATGCGAATTTCCAGCATCTGAAACTTAACCCTGTGTACTTTTAGGGTATTAAGGTCTTAAGTACAACAAGAAGTGGAAAGGTTCTTCACTTGCACTGCATATCTGATGTATAATTTTTTCTTACCCGTGTATTCCTCTTTATCGTAATTTTCCAAATCATATTCATCCAGTTCATGATCAGACAGGTCTTCATTGTTAGACTGAGAGCTGCCAGGAACGGCCACATTCATGTCCCCTGCCGTCTGACCTTCATTGCTGCCACCAGCACCCTCCCTGTGGAGAGACACACATCCCTGAGAAACTGTGACAGACATGTACAATGCTTCCAGGTAACTATTTAGGGCACTGCTGTCCAGATTTCAGCACTCAGTCCTAGTTGTTCACACGGGTTTCAAGTCTTTATGCCAATAATTTGGAAATGCATTTACTCCTTCCCAATCTGTCCCAAAATACAAGGCACTATTATTCTCAGCCTTTCAGAGAAAGTTTTCCTTGAAAGCTTTCATGATAAAATGTGGCATGAATTTTGCTCAACAAGCTAAACTGCACATTTCTTAACCTCACTTCTGTGCACTCACATGTCAAATTCATTCCTTCCTTCCCCCCCCGGCCCTGACATCTTAAAGATTTTCAAAACTTCATTTCCTTACACTTTCCATAAATAGAAAAAAAAAAAAAAGCAAAACAAAAACCAAAACAAACAACAACAAAAAAACCATAAAATTCATTAGGTAAGGACATTTGTGGATTACTTCTTATGGAGTAAACTATGCAACATTAAACAGTGGTTGAGAACACAACAGACATCTAAGGTGTCTCAATGGAACATGCTCCACGGAAATTCATCCCTGCTGAATACCATGTATTTCTATCCCTCTGCATGCAAAATTCCCAAGCAACAACAAGCCAAGGCAGTCCTCAGATACGATCCCTGAATTAAATACCTGAAACCTATTCCTCTAATTTGTTCAGTAAAATAAGCACTTCATATTAACAAGATAACTAGAGACAAGTAACAAGATAATTCGAAACTCTGAGTTTGATTTGAGATCTTTGCACAGGGCAAAAAGGTGAGATGTTGTAACAAATACGAAGTAGCAGTAATTATAAATATTTTGTATATAAACACCTCCAGTTGTTTCAGATGGTGGTTAAATTTCCACCCAGAAGTTTTACAGACCGTGTAACAAACAGCACCTTAAATCTTTCCACGCTTTTGAAATAGCAAGATAAAGGAAACCACTCAAAAAACCCAAAGTTCACACACATAAAGGGGAAACAAGTAACACCAGAAACATTCAATTTCATCAGTTAAGAAACTAACAAAAAGTGAGAATCTTCCAAACGTTTAAGATGATTTTGGAACCATTAAAAAACAAAAACAGAACAAAACACATTCTGGGATGAGACAGTATTCAGCAGTAAAGTCACTGATTCATCCAAGAGAAATGGGGTGAATAATATCTGCCCAACTCTAAAAGCTTTTACTGTTCAATCACACACCCCCTGGTACAACCACGCATCCTACACAGCTGAAACAGAATCAGAAACCCAAACCTACAGAGAACAGATCTAACAGAAAAGGCCAGAAAATGGAATAATACCTTAATCTTTTTCTAGACAAAAGACAGCCATTTCTTTCTTGTCTCCCATAGATTGCTTCATAAATATGTCACTTCAGTTACACTTTTCATAAATACCTTTTCCTTAAAGCAGAGCGACAAAACTTTAAACAACTACATAACTAAGAACTTCCAGTGCCGAGAGTTGTGATGTCTCTAGGTTCACCTGTGAACCAAAAACACATCCCTAAATGATTTTCTGCCTTTTTTTGCCACAGCATAACCATCACATCATTCTGAGCCCCACTGTGGCCTCCAGACTTGCTTAGATCGTCCTCACACCCTCGGCATCACTTTTTCTCATGGTCAGTTTGGGATTTCCATCTCGGTTTGCCACACCTCCAAAGCAGCCTTGGTTACACACCCAACTTATTTTTCACTCCAGGCGGGAATGGCAGCTCCAGAGAGGACCAGGCCAGAGACATCACGAGAAAGGCTCAGGGAGCCTGACAGCACCACAGCTGACAACTGAGGAACCACCTGGGAACGCAGCCCACGCTGTCCTGGCCACAACGACTGCAGGATACACTCAAAGAATCAGAGGATATTCTGAGCTGGAGAAGACCCAAAGGATCACGGAGTCCGACTCTGAAGTGAGTGGCCCGTACGAATATCGAGATCACAACTTCGGCATTATCAGCACCACGCTCCGACGAGCTGAGCTGATCTCAGAGGAATTCCATCTCCGCACCGCCGCCTCTCCCGGGACGTCAGGCTGCCCTGGCACAGCGGCTCCACGAGTAACCCGAGCTGGCTGTTGCCGTCCCCACTCCTCGCTGCTGCTTCTCAAGCCGGTCCTCCAGGAGCTCCCCGGGCTGCGGGCGGGGCTGCTGGCCGCGCTCTCCCGTGCCCGGGGGACTCCAACCCCGCACCCACAGAGCCCCTCCCGCCGCCCCGGCTCACCCCAGCCTGTCCTGCGCCTCCTCGATGAGACCCTTCAGCTCCTCCTCGCTGAGCTGCACCTGTGGGGCGGACACACAGAGGGGTGAAGGGGGCGGCGGGGGGAGCGGACGGGGGTGCCCCAACCCCAACCCCAACCCCAGCCCCAGCCCCAGCCCCAGCCGCACCTTGTCCGGGGTCTCCTTGGCCACGCCGCGCCGCACCCAGGCGGCGCAGGGCACCGGGCAGCTCATGGCGGCACCGCCAACACGTGCGGCGGGACCGGCGCGCACCAGTGACGTCAGAGCGGGGAGGGCCCGCCCGCCAAGGCGAGGAAGGGCGAGGGGCGGAGACAACGGGGTGGCGTCATCATAGAAAGACGACGTGGGGAGGGAGGGGCTACAAGGAAGGGGCGGGGCCTGTGCGGGCGGGGCAGGGCGTGGTCACCTTAGGACCACGGTGGACTGTCTCGGGTGCACGGCGGGGGACACGGCCCCACCTCGTGAGTTTTCACAGAATCACGGGCTCTTTTAGGTTAGAAACGACCTCCAAGTTCATCGAGTCCAACCTTCCAGTCCTTCGCTTCCCACAATGGGTCGCGGCTTCCCCTCACTTGCTGGGAGAGACCTGCCCCGCCTGATGTTCGCCTCCACTGAAATAACCCATCGGAGTGAAAAGTTTAGAAAGGCCTTTTTTGTTACCAATCTCTAAATTTTATCCAAGGGGAAGAAGCCAGCGCGCAGTCAGGAGCAGCAGGGAGGTGCAGGAAATTGGGAGGCACTGGTGTCGGCACAGGAGCGGCTGCTTTTCTCCCTCCCAAGTGTCAGCGTCCTGTACCAGCTGACTCCTTAAATCAGGGGAAAGGGATAAAATATCAGCTGGATTGTACAGGAAAGTACTCTCTTACTAATGTGCAGAAATCACCGCTGTTTCCATCACCGGAATCTTAATTCAGGTTGGGCGAAGGAAGGTTTTCCAGGGTAAAGCTCAGGGACTTGGCAACCAAACTCCAGCTTGGCAGACACAATGGCCACATTATTTCATCCACATGTCTCTAGACGACACCACTATAGCATTTTCATTCTTTTTATCCTCGTTCTTCTGTGGTTCTGGCATGAGAAATAGACATCTATCAAGATATTACTACTTCTTCACTACCCTGTTCTTTTCACCCACGTGCTGTATTTTGTCTTAACATAAACATACCAAGGCAAGAGTTGTGTGTTTCCAGCTCTTCCTTTTAGTACCCTGGGGCATGGGCACCCAGTCCTACCTGGGATCTAGGTGATTACCAATCTTGCACTTTTGTGTGCTTGCCTCTTTGCTGGGCTGCTGTTATTTTCTTTGCTGGTCACCTTATCTTACAGTGTTCAAGAAATCCCTCTTGTCCTCTTATGCATGAATTGGCTGCAGTTTGACTGTCAGTCTTCCTCCAGATTCTGAGGGAATTTTTGTGAAAGCAGATGCTATTCTGAAAGGGCAGGCAGAGGGGAGTGTTACGCAACCGAGAGGAAAAAGGCAAGGTTACTTTCCCGTGGCTGTGGTTCCTGGATATGTCTGGGGGTTTTTTGTTTTGTTTTGTTTTGGTGTTTTTCCAGATATATACATTTACAGTGTGGAGGTTTGCAGAGCCAGACTTGTTTTTACTGAACCAATACCCAGAGGGGGCACACATGCTCTACCTTCCCTCCCACTGTGTACATAATCACAAAATAGCAGTGTTATTGTGGTTAGGCTCAACAGCAGAAGTACCAAAAAAAAAAAAAAAAAAAAAAAAAAAAAAAAAAAAAAAAAACCAAAAACAACAAGAGAGATGGAAAAAGAGGAAGGAAGGAAAATAAAAGTAGTAGCAATTGTGCACGATGGATATTATAGCTAAGAGAACCGCAGTTAGTAGCAATAATTTTTCTTCTTTTGAGACCCAGTCCATAAATGCTGGGCAATTCCAATACTTCTCTTACGTGCTGGGGATGCACAGCTGGGTCTCAGGGTCTTCTTAAAAGAAAGAGCATTCTATTAAATAAATTAGTGTTCCGTAGTGCCTTGGCAATCACAGAGATGCAGCTGAAAGAGTGGTGCCCCAGGCTGGAAGCTCCCTGCAGACACCTGAGATAGTAAGTGATATCTCGTGCAGTCCAGCCCACTCACGCCAAGGAACTGTATGGCCCATAGGTCATAACACACCAATAAAAATGGCCTTCTTTGTATTTAGTGTCTGTAGATGACTCAGCCACAGAAGTGTGAAGATTAGCAAATAAAGCAGATGTTAATTTCTTAATTTGGATGGAATTCTGACACAATCGTTGGAGGAATTTTGGGATGAGCCCAAAAAGCTGTCCTAATCAGAAGTGAGGCTGTGGAGCTGACAGAAGTCTCTCTGCATCTCTGCTAGGTTGAAGAAATGGCCGTGAACAAATTTATCTACAACAGGAGACAAGAATTTAAATGGCTGTCCCATAAAGGGTGTGAGGACCAAGCTCAGATCCAGTGGAAATATAGAGGTCTTTGACCAGAAGAATTGTCATCATTTTAATGACACAGCCTGTTCTGGACTGGCCCTGGGCCTTTGCTAAAAATGATCTTCTAAAATTTTAAAGGATTTATTTCCACTCCCCTGGCACAGATCAGAGGTCAGACACAGGAGGGCTTCAATCTCTTAGACCCAATTCTTATCCTCTGATTAGAAGAGCTGAGTTTCTTTTTATCCCACTGAATATCTGCAAAGTAAGGCAAGACTTGACAGTGGCAGTTTTCACTGTTTCAGTTTAGTCACTGATTCTGGTGTCAGAAACTATTGCCTGTCTGAAGGGAAAAGCACTAAAACTTGTCCCTCTTTGTGGATCTGTATTTGACCCATCCCGACCTACTGCTATTCACCTGAGGACACACGTGCTGGATAGTTCTCATCAGCAGGAAGTACGTGCCTGTATCATCTTGTTCAAGGTGTTGTCATAAACATTCAGAAACGTTCAGCTGGATTAAGTTCCCTAGCTAAGCAGAGCAAACTTTTGTTCTGGAGTGGACTTACCGGGTAAATAAAAGGGGATTAGTAGGAAAAGTCAGTAGCTCCTCCAAAGGGAAGGTCCAGCTTCTCTTTTAGAGGACATGTGAGGGTGCCCAGAGAGCACCTAGAGCATTCCTCTTCACAGGAAGTCATGATGGAAGACAGAAGACAGCTGGTTGATAGAGTGATGTTGAAGCAGCTGGTTCCAGCAGGCTCTTCAATAACTACTGGAAAACTTGAAGAGCTCCCAAGGCTCTGCAGGGACCTTGATATACCTTGAATCACAAAACTGTCACAGACACTTTCTAGTGTCTAGAAACACAAACATTTCTAGTATGATAGATGGACGGTATTGCAAGGCCATGAAAAGATTCATACTGCAAATCATCCAGGCTGTAAACAAGAAAACAAAGGGAATTTTATGTGTTTTGAGAGAAGTTGTGCTGCAGGTTTATGGCTGTGGTTCAGCTGACGTCTTCAGATGAGAAAAGGGGAAAGTGACCAATACACTAGCATGGCATCTCACTCAATTTTTTTTTCCTGTTTTCTCAAAAGAGCTATAAAATACCAGTGTTGCAGTCCCAGGGATGCTTAACAGCTAAAAACAAAGTCACATAATCAAGGAATCCTCTGACTTAGGAAAGAAAGAAAGAAAGGAGTACTTAGGAGTGACTTTGAAACACCAATGGCAGACATCTAAGTCCTCAAGGTTACCTTTTGATTTTCTATTTGCATTCCCTGGGTGTTTCTGTGAAACACTGAGAATAAATAGTGGGAGGAAACCAAAGAAATATCAGATCTCAGTAGGGCAGCATCTCGTTAAGGGAGATGGCATACCCTATTTGCACACAGCAACATAGCCTGGAGGGAAGAACTCTTGAACTCATAGCTAGGCAGAAAGTTAAGTTTTCAGGTAGTTAAAACAAGGCTGCTTTGGTTTTCTTTTATCCATGATCTCCTTAAGGAGTTCTCTGGGAGAGCACAAACCTCCTTGCTTTGAAAGATAAAACACCTTTGCACTAAGGCTTATTCTCCCAGATCTATCTTATTACTTTTCGTGCTCTTTGCTTAATATGGAATAAGATAGGTCTGTCACTTATCTTTTAGCTATGTCTAGTAAAAAGTGTGATCTCAATGTGAATCAGATACATGTGAAAAACATTAAAACCTCCTTGGGATACAGTAAGAATTGGGATACAGTAAATGTATTCTCAGGGCAGAGAGGTGTGCTTATAGAGCAGCTGCTTCCCTAGAATGTGTGCTAAGAGCTCGAGAGTGAGGATCCCACCATCCCTACAATGGTTGCTGTCAGATAGCATAGGAAGAGAAAGAAATACTGTCAGTGCCCTCTCAGTGAGCTGGAGAAAAGATGGCTGGATATGGAGAACAGCCACATTTGCCACATACAGCCAATAGAGAAAAATGACTTTAAATGCATTGGTCTACCAGGGCCCAGGAGTAGAGAGCTGAAAGGAAAAGAGGCGTGTGGGAGATGAAAAACCAAGATGCACATGAAGGTAGAACACAGTCAAGGATCTAGCAAGCCATTCTTGGCCAGCTTACAAAGAGAAAATGAAGGAAGTTGAGAAGAAGCACAGAACGATATAAAATGCCTAAGGATTTACTAGCAAGGTCATTAAATATATGGGAAAAATATAAATAAAATATAAATATATAGGAAAAAACCCACACAAAACAAGTGGCAGTGTTCCACGTGCTGGAACTCAGCCAAATGATATGAGTTCTGCCCCAGAACCTTGTTCTCACATCAGGTGGAAAGTGGGGTCTGTGTGCATACCCCAGACATCCATCCCTACACCCTCCAGCTGCAGGCTTTGCCAACCAGGGGTTCACAGTGTCAGCCTACATTTGGGTGACACTGGGAGAAGCAGATCATGCAGCAGGGCTGCATTGTGCCTCTGAGGGCAGATGGACAACTCAAAACACTTGGGACTCTCCCCTCTCCAGCCCCGTGGGAGCCATGGGGGACATGAGGGCCAGGATTTGTCTCTTTATTTCCTCCATGTCTGAGTGTATTGCTCGCTACTGGTTGCTTCAAATATTCCTTGTTCCAGGAGGAGACTACCACTTACCAAAGACACTGGCTTGTAGAGCAGGGGGGCTGATACGCTCCAGGTAGGTAGCCAGGCTGTAGGGTCATGCTGGGTATGGCAGCTTCCCAGCCTGCAAGGATACGTGCCCAGGTTCTCAGACATCCTTCACTTTGCAGTCTTACATCTTCACAGTAAAGCTTAGAGATAACCAGCCCAAAGGCCTGGTTATA